TGGGGATGTGCCCACAACCCAGGTACATGCCCTTGACCGGAATCGAACCTGGGACCTTTCAGTCCGCAAGCCGATGCTCTATCCACTGAGCCAAACCGGTTTCGGCGATACGCCTTTTGCTTAGTTGTCTCCACGCGGACCAGGGATGTTGCTGGCCTTTTTCTGGGCTCATTCCCTCTGTCTCTCCTTCCAACTTCCTTTAGTCCAAGCCAGAGATCCCCTCATTTCAGAAGCACACGTAACCTCTCTGTGCCAGGCTGCTCCAGGCATGGGGCTCCTGGAGGTGGCTCTCAATAACCTCAGGGAAGCACTCTGGCTTGGGGGACAGATGTTACCGGTGCCCCATTGCTGGGCGCCATCCTAGAGCTATCAGAACAGACTCTTAGGGGTGGTTCCAGGACTTGTGATTCATAACCGCTGGCTCTCGTGCTGGCCACAGGCTGGCATTTGGTGACCACGGGTCTGTCCAGCTCTCTCCTTCTACTCGTGAGGGACCAAGGCCCAGAGAGGAGCCGTGGAGTGCCCAGTGGGTTACTACAGCCAGAACTGGGTCTTCTGACAGCCACCTCTTAGCCGGAATTGTATTTTTTTCCACCCAGAAGCTGGACCCTGTTTCTTCCCCAATCAATATGCAGCTGGTCGCTCACTTCCATTTTCATAGCCAAAGTCAATATTAGCTCCTGCAGAGATTTATTTTACTGAATCAATAAAGCCATGTGAGGCAGCTCATATTTTAGCTGGAGAGCCTCCACCCCCTCCCAGGAGCTTACTGGGGGACTTTAGCAGTGGGCAGGCTGAGGGGAGAAAGGGCTGCACACTGTTAGTGTTGGGATGGATGGCATTATGGCAGGGGCCATGGAGGACAGGGATCTGAGGTGCAAGGTTGGTGGACACAGGCAGAGGTCAGGGCACCACTGAGCTGCAAGGTGGGGCTCGTCTCACTGTACATCAAGGTGTGCCCAGCCTGGTGGTGGAGCAGGGCTCGCAGTGCAGCTCTTGGCCAGGTATGAGGGTCATCCCAGGAGGGGTCCTTTCCTCTGTGATTGGCCCAGAGGCTGCTGTGACTCTGTTGTATATAGTTCCCTCCACCCCATGTTTACAAAGCTGTCTGCCCATCAGAAGGAAAAGCTCTCTGAGGACAGGGACCTCCTTTGTCCTTGAATTCCCTGCAGTCTTTACTCCTGAGACATCTGTAAATGTTGATCAAATGAAGGGATATAACGTATTTGACATTTCTTGGGAGTACCTCTCCCATTAATGCTTTATTTTTTTAATATGTTTTTATTGATTTCAAAGAGGGAGAAGGAGAGAGATAGAAACATCAATGATGACAGAGAATCATTGATCGGCTGCCTCCTACATGCCCCCTACTGGGGATCGAGCCCATAACCCGGGCATGTACCCCAACCAGGAGTTGTACCATGACCTTTTGGTTCATAGGTTGACACTCAACCACTGAGCCATGCCAGCTGGGCCTCCCATTAATACTTTAAAAGTGTATGTCATGTAATCCTCATAGTAGCTTAATCAACTAGGTATTATTACCTTCCCATTCAAAGATCAACTCTTAGAGAGTTTAAGTGATTAGCCCAGAGTTACCCAGCTGGTCAGAATCCAATAAAAAGGAATTGTCAGAGTTCTCCTGAAGCCAGTGGGGGCCTGGGACTTGACTGCAGGGGGTGTATTTGGGAGGTGGTCTCAGGAAGTTGCCGTGGGAGGGGATAGAGGAAGGGAGAGCAGACAGGGAAGGAACCAGAGCAGGGCCATTAATGAGCAGATTGCCTCATGGGTAACTAGGCTGTCCCTGGAGAGACCTTGCCAGGGGGATATGTCCTTCAGCCCTGCCCATACTTCCTGCTCTCTGACAGTGGCAAGGGCTGGGCCAAGGGAACACGGCCGGGCACTGACAGCCAACTAACTACCAGGGAGCAGATCTGGAAGTTAGAGGTGTACGTTTGGTGCTGCGGGTGAGTTCGGTGCACATCCTGAGTGGGCGTGAAGGGGCAGGCGTTAGGCAGGTGAGGTTGGGAGGGATGAGAAAGGCTCGCTTGCTACCTTCCTCCGAGAGTCCATGCCACTTCCTTCCGAGGGGGCCGCCCTCATCTCCCGTGGAAGCTGAGTGTGGAGGAGCCTTTGCAGCTGGATGCCGCCCTCTGTGTGTGCGGCTGGCAGTGAGTTTAGGTGATTTCAAATAAGAACACATTTTTAATTTAGCAGATTTATAAAATCATACACTACATTTCCCACAGCTCCAGGGCATGTATACAAATTAAATTTATAATTTAAAGTGGATGCAGGGAGAGCAGCAGCCCAGAGCAACGCTCATCAAACACTTTCACAGCATAGTGAGGAGCACTGGTCCCTGGCTGGGGGGCTGGACAGCTGCCCAGCCCTGGTGTGGGGTCTCCCCTGGGCCGGGCCCTTCCCTGCCTGCCCTGAGAAACAGAACCTAGAGGCGGCCAGAGGAGCATCTGCTTCACGTTTCTAAATAACTCAGAAAGCGCTCGAAAGGGTGAGCTGGGTTCGGGAGCCTGCCGGGGCTGGCCTGCAGGTCCGGTGGATCGGGCTCCATGTGGGTGCCAGGGAGGGCAGGTTGGACCCGCCTGAAGGAGACAGCTGCCCTCTGCTCCCGCCAGGCGTTGCCTGTGAGAACGCAGGGCAAGTGCCATCAAATCTGGCTTTTAAGGAGAAGTTGGCGAGCCAAAATTTGATATAAAAATCTTTTGGCTCCTTTTCTAGGTTGGCAGCTAATTCAATTTTTTTTTTTAAATTCTCTGTGGGCCAAATAGAACAGGAATGAGAGCCAGATAGGGGTTGTGTGCAGTGAGTTTGCAAACTCTGCTCCACTGAGTTGTACTATAGAGAACGTTGTGTAGCCACAGAGGTAGCAGAGCAGGGTGAGGGCAGGTGAGGGAGGACAGGTGTGGCGCACTGGTGACCAGAGTGCAGGCCATACCTCCTTCTTCACCCAGTAAATGTGACTGTCGGTGGCCTGCTGGGCTCTCCGACCTGGAAAGGGAGCCTCCGTTCAAATGTCAGTGGCCAGCAGCCGGAGAACTGTGTGAGTGGTGGTTCTTCAACACTTCAAGCTGTGGTGATAGTTCAGTCTGGATTCCTTAAGGGGCTCGGTTCTCAGAGACCCCATGGTCATTCCTTTCTCAGGTCCTGGTGTGGGCTGGCCTCTGTCTGGGTGCTCATCACGCAGCTGGTGGCCCACTCGTCACTCAGGGCTCAGGTCAGATGCTCTCTCCTCGCGAAGGCCTCCTTGGCCATCTGGCAAAAGCAGCCCTTCTGGCTATTGTCTTATCGAATCGTTCTCTTTTAATTCCTCCAGAGCAGGCACTGGGCTCTAAAATGATCTCACTTATTATGTGTCTCTTGGCAGTGAGAGCAGCAGTCTCTCAGTGACTGAACTTTGTCAAGGTCAGCCTGGACCTGGCATCTAGAACACATGGCGGGACTTCGATCAAGGCCGCCGGGCCTCAGAATAGGTCCCCCCGCCCCTGTGATGCTTTTGTACCTCGTGCTGCCGTCACTGGGCCCTCTCCCCTCCTGCCCTGCTTTATGACCCCGAACAGGGAAAATGTTCTGTGTGTCTGCCTTAGACTCTCTTGTTTTGAAAGAACAATAAATAATA